CCCTCTCCTCCTGGGATATGAGATAGAGATGGGGGGTACTCTGGCACCAAGAAGCACAGGGCACATTGACTACCTTGTCCTTCATAGCTGGACCTCCTTAAGTGCTCCTTACACACAGTAGAGCTGGCCCCAGGACGGCTCCACCTCCAGAGAGCAGCAGCTTACTAGCTCATGTTAACAGAACTTGGCTGACAGCATGGATGAAAAGTATCAGCTGCTCAGGTTTGAGATACAGCTCTGTCCTGATTCATGGTCTCAGAACAGCAGTCAGGCTGTCTTCCTGGACCAGGAGGAACTGAAGGATGATTATATTTGCCAGCTCTCCCCTAAGCCTGTCAGCCTTCAGCACAATGAGGCCACACTGACTTAATGACTCAATAAGTGAGGAGAGAGAAAGGATTTTCAGTTAACAGAGTTTTGGGCATCACCCACTTTCACAAGGAGAACTCAATTTTCAACCTTTGTTTTTAAATGTCATATTTCTTGTTTGATTTTCTTTTTGTTTCCTATAGTGTCCTTCAGAGGAGAGATGGTTGAAATTGGGGAAGAAAAGTGATTTTTCCTTTTATGGTATAATAGTAGTTTTAGTCATAGTCACATGAAATGGCTTGCAGATTTAGGATGATTCTCAGCCTGCTAAATAAGAATGGTTTGAGATTTTAATTGAGAGATATTTGGACATACCTCACAGGTTTCTTGCCTGTTGATTATCTGCTTAGAGGACTGTGCTTTTACATTTAAATCCCAAGAATTTCATCACTAAAGATACATGAAATGCACGTCAAATTAAGCTCTTTTATTGAATTTCCTTTTTTGTTGTTGTTCTCCAGAGGAAAAAGGCTCTGTTCTAATAACCTACATCAATTTCATTCATCAGGTGGCTCATTGTTAGAGATCATCTGTGAGCAGACATGCCTCCTGGTAATCCATGTCAGTGAGTAGCCTGAACTGGTCTCTGGCTGTGGAGGGTTTGTAGTAGATCCTCTTATTTGCTCTGTGTGTTTTCATTCACAACATCATAGCCCCTTCATTGTTAAAAATCAGCAATGATAAAAACAACCTCATGGGCTTACTTGCTGCCTATATTCTATGGCTTGCCTGATTCTACTGATAGTTTTGTCACTGTGGGCATTGATCCCCTGGGGAATGACACAGGTCTGCTTCCCCACAGTACTCTGAAACTTGATAGTAAGCTTTCTTTGGCCAACACTGAGGTCCAGTATATAAGCCCACACATGGCTGGCATAAATGTAGAGGGCTTCGTAGATAAAGGGAAAAGAAACTGTGTCAATGAAGAGACTCAAATCAAAGAAACCCAAACTTTGGTTGCTTTGTTTAGGATAAATAAGGCTAAGCATTGGGCCAAGCATGGTAGTATACACTTGTAACTGCATATTTTGGAGTGCTTTTTTTTGTTTTAAGTTTCTGAAAATAAGGCTTTCTAGTGTAAAATCAGAGTTGGGCCAGGAATCTTTGAAGTAATGTGCCATTCGCTGCTAGGGCTCTGTGAGCGGAATGAAATTCTCTGAAGCAGCCATATTCTTTAAAGATCTAAAAACAGCTCAACCTTGACTGAACAAAACATTGTGACTATAGAAAAGGGAAAAATATCTTGGGCTGTCCTTTTTAACTTATTATCTTATTCTGCAGCAGACATGCCACCTCTTAACTTTTGGGAAGTTTTCTAAGCTTGCCACACTGATCCTCTACCAACTCTGCAGCTGAAAATATGACAAGGACGCAATTCAAATCCCTTGCCTGTCTGTCTATAGCTCACCTGCCCAGTGACCCTAGTATATGTTTTATAAACACACTAGTTCATGTATTTTCTTTTCTGTGCTTATAAAAGTTCCTATGATACTGAGCATAAATGTCAGATATCTGTAATTCCACACTTGGACTGTAGAGGCAGGAAGATAAAGAACTCAAGTTCAGTCTCTGCTACACAGTAAATCTGAGGGCAGCCTGTGCTGTGTCCGTTTCTGTTCTTAAAAAATCCATTAAAAACCTGAGTGGTCAAGGACATTACAAAAAAATCTGCAGAATAAACTAACCAGGGTTGACAGTTGCTCAAAGAGTCTGAACTGACAATCAGGGAACCTGCATAGGACTGACCTAGGCCCTCTACATATATGACAGTTGTATAGCTTGATCTTCCTTTGCTTGGACATCTATTATTCAGGAATGATTCTCTTCCTGATAACACTTTTCTGGAAGAGTACTTCTCGAAGACATCATGTGACAGCCTGTGCCACATGATGGATGAAGGGAGGGAGGCAGGGGGCAGGAGGCAGAGAGAGAGAGAGAGAGAGAGAGAGAGAGAGAGAGAGAGAGAGAGAGAGAGAGAGAACTTTGTTACCCTGTTTGATGACTGGTCAATTTGAAGAAAGACAGGATGACTGATTTGCTCTAAAACAACCATATAATAAATATTTGCATATCCGGCCTTGACTCCCAATAATGGGAGCAGGAGCTGACTCTAATGCTTTGGCTAACTTTTGAGAACTTATTCCTCATGCTGGGTATACTTGCCCAGCTTTAATAAAAGGGGAGGTGCTTGGTCCTACCACAACTTGATATCCATGTTTTGTTGATGTCCATGAGAGGCCTGCTCCTTTCTGAACAGAAACAGAGGAGTGCATGGGGGTACAGAGGGGAGGTGGAGGTGGCTGGGAGGAGAGGAGGGAGAAGAAAGTGTGGTCAAGATGTAAAATAAATAAATTTAATTAATAATAAAAATCCAATAAAAACTATAAGCAAATAACAACAAATAGTGAACTTTCCCATGGTGTAACATGCCATTCATAACCAAGACTCTGTTTACAAGTCAAAATCACTCACATTTGGCCCAGAATAAACAGATAAAGCACAGTTGGCATTTTCATCTCCACAGCACCTTCTTTTCCTGTCATATTCACCTTGGCCTCTATCTCTAATTGAAAACACCCAGACAAATTTATCATGCTCTTTCCATAACAACTACAAAGACACTAAAAATTCCAAACACCATTCAGATCAAGTCTCTAGATGGAGCATGACAGAGCATGGTAATGCTGCATGTAACTCAGACAGTTCTGCTGAGGAGGAAACAGCACGCACATTCAGGAGACATTATCAGCCTGCTTATGATTGAGAAACACACCAGGAAACATATTAATTAGAAGTGTCCCTTACTCACCATACTTATACCAATTTATATCCCTATCAATCTATAGTAACCATCTTATCTTCATGCCTTGTTCTAGGATGGTTCTGAGCATCAACCCCCAAAGAAATGTCAGGGCCACTCATTGAGAGCCACTGGTAGCAAAAGTCCATGAGAATATACAGCAGTGACAACTAGAGTTCAGAAGGTCAACCTATCAGAACTAAGGGTTCTGTTAGAGGAAACCGTCATGCAAGACATTTTAGAATTACTGCCTTTTGAATCGATTGGCTGTCTCTCGTTGTAAACTTGTGCAAAAACAGCTATGATTCTCCCCATTTACCGTGCATTCCCATGTTATGTGTACATGTGATCTCACGATTGCATCTCAATCTTGGGCACAACTTTCCCTATAGATTTGGGGTAATTGGAAAACTGTCCCCTGCTGTGTTTATTTTTCACTAACATATATCTGGCCAGGGCTATTCTCCAGACGAAAGTATTTCAGCAAAGATACCTTTTCCCATGGACAAATACAGAGAAATAAACATTAGCTCATTTGACTTACAGATAAAGAAAAGAACCACTAACAATTAAATCCTCAACTCCTTACCTTCACCCTGGGTTATTTACACAAGACCCTAATTTAAGAGATTTACTGCTCACATTCCTGGGATGATGTTTTTAGCCACTTGCTAGTTACTGAGTTAAGGTAGTTACTTTCCACTGACCCAAGAAAATTGACTTCAAGGCCAGGCAGGTGATAGGTGCTAAGCTCCTTTCTTGTGCAAATTAAGTTTTAGTTCCTCCTCAGCCAGGGGCTATTCCTAGATTCCCTAATGATCTTAGCCTTTAGTTGACCCTACCAGAGAACTCCCCTTTAGTCACTCCCCTTTTGGGTTGTAATTAGAAGCTGACTTTTATTGCTTTATTGTGGATCCTTATCACCTCTCTCTGTGATCCTGAAAACTTCAAGCCTGGAACTGCTTTGCCAAAGAATTACTCCATGTGTATATACTGGTTCTCTGAGAGCATGAGGGAGAATTGATTGAGAAGAACAAAGATGAGGATGGAGATGGAAAGAACTAGATAGAGATGAGAGAACAGTGGAAGGGACTGAGAGCAGGAGGGACTGAGAGGAGCTAAGTATGAGAACAGAAAAGAAACTGGAATTGACTTAGAAGAATAAAGTGAATAGACTATAGAGATCAGTGTGCTTAGATTCATTGAATATCCCTCAGATTAATATCCTTAGCTGCCTGTAGCATCTGTTCTGAACCCTGATAGAAATCTCCTCAAGGCAGGCACTTAAGGGGAATTCATTAGCCACTTATTATAAATGCAACAGTCTTGCTGATCATATGGCAGAACAAAATATTAACCAGGTACTTATCAATCTACCATAAAGCCTATAGTACAGAAATAATATATTGTTAAATATTCATAAGATTTCCATATGATTTTTAAAAATAATCATCAAGGTAACATTTTTTTCCATTTGTCCCTTTCTATTTCTTAATGTCAAAGGCAATGGTATGTATTATCCATATATATTAGACAGAGAATAATAGTTATTGTTGTCTTTGTAACTTTTTGCAAATTATTCTACCATGAAAACCAGGCTTTGACTCTATGCTCATAGGGACCAAGTTCAAAATCATAAATCAGATTTTTTTCTGCTAAAATGACCATGACAGGCAAGGGTAGAGGAAATATCATGCATAATTCACAAGTCATGTGCAAAAGAGCAGACATACAAGAGGCCTGTGTCAACAAAGGACATCATACATCCTTGGATTGTGACAAAAGTAGCCAGTCTCTCCCCCAATTCAGAAATCAAACTGTGAGCCCTTACCTTGGAGGGCCTGCAAGCTGTGAGTCTGTACGATGATGCAGAGCTGCAGAACCAGCTGTGGAGCACTCTCCAGAAAGGTGGCTAGCAAGTGCAGCATACTCACATCTGCATACTCATACACCATCCTCCAGTAAAACCGCCACCTGCCACTCTCCCCACTCTGCCGGCTCCGAATACCTAAGTATATTGTGTGCAAATATCTGAAAGGAAACAGAGAGAGAAGATAGAGATGAGTAACAACGTAAAATTTAAACTCATAAGTCATTTTCCTTTGGTACAAGCCACCATATTCAAGCATGTTCACAGAACAAGGAATTTGGTCACTATTTGAGCATCCACAGCCTCACATGCTCAGTTTGGGAGATCTCAGCTCTGTAAGTCCCTTTTCAGATATCCCATTGAATTGCAATATGAAGATGTAAGATGAAATTACGTGGGCAATAGGACAAGGAGTATGGGAGGGATTTTCTCTTTGAAATTTACCTCCATCCCTTCTTGTCAGATCCTGTATGTGCCCAGTTGTGAACACAAGATGGATTTCTCCTTGCACACAGAGCAAGCCTGAGGTTCTAACAGTTATGTGCATGTAACTTGCAGATGTATGTGCAAATATGTAGGCCAGAGATCAATAAAGGGTCTGCCATTCCCAATTTTACTTTTAAAAAACAGTCTTTCACTGAACCTGAAGCTTGCCAGGACATGAGCAAGGACAGCTAGTCAGTGAATAATGTCAGGGATCCTCCTTCTCTGCTCCCACTTCCCTACTGTACTGGGATTACAGTGTGTGCTACCATGGCCTGATTTTTACATGAGTGTTGGGGATCCAAACTTAGGTCTTTATGCTTGGACAGCAGGCACTTTACCAATTGGTCCACTTCCCCCAACACAATTTTTATTAAAAACAATATTTATTTATTTATTTATTTATTTATTTGTTTGTTTATTTATTTTACAATATAATTTAGTTCTACGTATCAGCCATGGATTCCCTTATTCTCCCCCTCCCGCCTCCCACCCCTTCCCCCAGCGCACCTCCCATTCCCACCTCCTCCAGGGCAAAGCCCAGAGGATTGAGATCAACCTGGTAGACTCACTCCAGGCAGGTCCAGTCCCCTCCTCCCAGGCTGAGCCAAGCATCCCTGCATAAGCTCCAGGTTTTAAACAGCCAACTCATGCACTGAGCAAAGGACCCAGTCCCACTGCCTGGATGCCTCCCAAACAGATCAAGCTATTCAGAGGGCCTGAGGCAGTTGGGGGCCCCTCAGCTATTGGAACAATTTTAAAACCAGTACTGTTATCATGCATGAACCATGATAGACCCTTCAATGGTTTATACTTGGTAGGCATATTTTCCTGATTATCATAATTCTTGACTGTTTCTCAAACAAGGCCTACACTAATGATTACTTAATATGCATCTAAAGTCTCTTTAATACTGTGGTGTGGTGATATTGTGTTCCCCAAAATATTGTGCACTCTAATAAACTTATCTGAGGTCAGAGAACAGAACAGCCACTGGATATAGAGGCCGGAAAATGGTGGCACACATGCCTTTAATCCTAGCATTCCAAAGGCAGAGATCTGTCTGGATCTCTGTGAGTTCAAATTCATACTGGAAACAGCCAGGCATGGTGACATAAGCCTTTAATCCCAGAAAGTGATGGCAGGAAGCAGAAAGGTATATAAGGTGTGAGGACCAGGAACTAGAGCTGGTTAAGCTTTTAGGCTTTTGAGCAGCAGGTCAGATGAGATTCATTCTGAATGAGGACTCAGAGGCTTCCAGTCTGAGGAAACAGGATCAGTTGAGAAGTTGGCAAAGTGAGGTCAGCTGTGGCTGGTTCTGTTTCTCTGATCTTTCAGTGTTCATCCCAAAACCTGGCTCTGGGTTTGTTTTTATTAATAAGACCTAAGATTTGTGCTACACTGTGGCTCCCCTTCCATTTCTTATTCCTTGCATCATTTCCTTGTCTTGAGTTTGGCGGTTGCATTCTCCTGGTGAGTCTAACATAAATGTCCTTGGTGTTTTCTGCAAACAAACTGTTAGTGGCAGTTTGCACACACATTTGACCTTTAGCAGATGATGTTCAGCTTCATCAGGAGGAGCACACTGCAATTGGCCTTTTCCTTCCATGATGCTATCACCCAGGGAAGGTATCAAAATTGGAGCTGCATAGCAGCAATATTTTGAGCATATCACTACAGGTCATTGGTCAGTTTTATTGTCTGAAATTTGCTGTCTAGTAAATCCCTCAAGAAAGGCACACAGGGACAGTAGTCTCTGAATTCTTAGGTATTTCTAAGAATACTCAGTCATTCATCTTGCATTGGATGGGAATAAAGTTTTTTGGGCAATGCCTCCTGCTGCAGTAAATGTAACATGGCCTGGCTGGTTGTGGAGCCCACCAGAGAAAAGACTTTCAGGATAAGTCAGTATGGAAAAAGTTGGAGAAGAGTAACAAGCAGAGAGTAAGCACAGCCTCAGAGGATGGTTGGAGTGTGGTTGTAAGAAAAAGATGCCCCAAGGTGTTCAACAGCTACAGACAGGATTTGGCAGCTTTTGTTGCAGTTATGTATTTGTTTTGTGTGATGCTGGGAACTGGGCACAGGGCCTTGTACAATCTAGACAAGCATTCTACCACCAAATTACATCCCCAAGTCTAATTTTCTGGGGTTTGAAGTTATACTGTTTAAAAGTGCTACAGTTTACAAGTAGGTTCAAAGATTAAGCAAAGTTTAAAAATTAGTGGAGTTTTAAAATTAATTAAGAAATATAAATTGTATTTGTTTCTCTCATAGAATGTAACTTTTTAGATGAAATTGTAACATGGCTTATGAGGTGCACTGTTCAGTTTCATGATGAGAGGCATGTTGATGTAGATGAAGTTAAAGCTAAGCCCTTAAGACATATGCTTTAGCTTAAGCATGGTTCATGAGGTACATTGCATACACAAAATGAAGCCTTCCAATAACACACATACAGAATCCAAATACTTAAAAACTAAGAAGGTTGAGGAAAGTCACTACATGTTTTGGGTAGTTTTCCTAGATTTATTTTCAGTGTACTAGAATAAATAACAGCAAGTTTAGCACCTTAACCATTTTATGTAGCATTAGTGCAGTCATATTGCCGCGAATTTGTGCTCACCATCCATCCGCAGAAGTCCTTTCCTCTCGCAAAACCAAATCCCTGTCCTGATTCACACACAGCTCCTGATTCTGACTCCTTTTCTCTCACAAAACCAAGTCCCTGTCCTGATTCACAGACAGTTTCTAACTCTGACTCCCTCCTCCATTGCCCCAGCCTCTGGCAATGGCTTCCAATCTCCTTTCTGTCTCTGTGAATATCTTTCTCATAGTGATTTGAGTTTGACTATACAGTATCTGTCCAGTGATTTGTTTATTTTGATTATTATAATCACCACTGTGGTGGGTGCCAAATTCCATTCTAGATAGGAAGTGTTTAAATGAATGGATCTTTACAATAGACTACTTGATATGTCTAGCCTCCAAAAAAATGAAATGAAAAAATATTCCCTAATAAGGTCTCATCTATTGCAGCCTAAAGGTCTTCCACTATAACAGATACACTTGTGCTCTTTATCTGTAAAAATAGCTACAGGTTAAGAACATGCATAAGTACTTCACTAAAAATTAGTTACAAAAATTTGCAATATGATATTATTCATAGAACAAAAGAGATTCAAGTTCAAGTGCTCAACAGGGTATGAATCAAATCATAGTCTATCCATGCATTGTATCTTTGGGGAACAAGTTCCAGGACTTGCTTCAGATACTCAGATCTTCAGATGCTCAAGTCAGTTAGAAAAAGTCTATCTATGCACATCTTCTTCCCCATCTGGACATAATCTCCAAATTACTCATAACGTTTAATATAAATCGAACATGAAAAAACAGGAGTCATACTGTGTTGTTCAGCAAGTAATGTCAAGAAAAAGTGTGTACACATTCAGCTCAGATGTCTTTTCTTCTGTTTTGGATCCACTGTTGGTTAAATCTGCAGGAACTTTTCTAGCCCTCCTGAGATTTACTGTTTGCATAGGTCTATTTATGCTTCTACTTGTGACACTATGGTTTCCCCACAGATCATTTTCACTACTGACATGTGAGTTTTTAAAGTGCTAATTCTCAATTTGGCTTCTTATATGGATCATAGTAACTAAATCATAACAATCCCTACTTCGTGTTTTTATAACAACATTACAGCTTGGAATCATGGAATGAATAAGCTAGAGGGATTTAGGGATCAGTTGCCAGGGCTACAGGACTGAGAAATGGAGATTAGACCAAGACCCCTGATATTTTGAGACTAAGACCTATGATCTTTTATCATGTCCATCTGGCTCTAATAATTCTGGAATTTATCATATATAAGACACAGACAGAATTCACTACTTTCTTTCCATCTTTTACATGCTTTTGTTGTTATAGCTGAGAGAAAATAAGTGTCAAGGTGAAGAATTTTATATCTAGATAGGACTTGGATTATGTTACTAGTTCTAGGACTCTGGGGGAATGACTTATGTTGTCTTAGCTTGACACTTCCATTGTGTAATTTTTTAAAAAGATACTTAAATCTTTAAAAATAAGATGAGATTATATGCATAAATTACTTAGTGAGCAGTAAGTAATGTCAGATGTTATTTAGAATAAGTCTGTTTCAGGAGTTAAGTGGAGAAGAGCAAAGATACTTTAAACTTTGGATTTTTTTTTGTAGTTATCTTAAATTATCTTCAGTTATACTCAAGTCATCATGTGACTTAAGGATATGTGAGGGCTACCTTATCTCAGGTGTTCTAAATCCAGTAGACAGTCATACTCTTTCTCGATCTCCTATCTTTTCCTCGGTGTCATATATAAACATCTATCTAATCTATCTGTCTATCTGTCTATCTATCTATCTATCTATCTATCTATCTATCTATCTATCTATCTATCTATCATCTATCTATCTATCTATCTAACTTATTCATTCATCAATTGTAGGTGGGAGAGAAACTTCCCGTTCCCAAATATCCAGCAGCCCCATCCCAAATAATTGACTTACTTATAAATGCTTAGCCAGTAGCTCAGGCTTATTAATAACTAGCTCTTACATTTAAATTAACCCATAATTCTTACCTATGTTTAGCCATGTGGTGTGTCTTGGTACCTTTTCTCAGTGTGGTATTCTCATCTTACT